TTTTATTTATTTATTTTTGTACCCCCAGGTGTCTGATAAATTTGCCTTCAGCCTGTTTGACTTGGATTGGGATGTTTTTATGCAACACATCGAGGGAGCCATCAACCGAGTTCCTGTTCTGGAGCAGACTGGCATCAAGTCCACCGTCTGTGGACCAGGTACTAACATCACCAGGCTTCCCCCTACCATCATCTAAGAGGGGCGGCTGAAAGTATTAACCAGTCAACACATATAGTAACAACTAAAACATTTCAATATGAATCTTTAGGTGCTTTTTAAACAACAAATACCGAGGATTACAAAGTTTGTCAGATGTAAAATAGAATGTTGTCTTTATTTTGTTACAACCATGTTTGTTTTCAGAATCTTTCACAGCAGACCACAAGCCACTGATGGGAGAAGCTCCAGAGGTCCGAGGGTTTTTCCTGGGCTGTGGCTTTAACAGTGCAGGTATGTCCATCCTTCGATTGAAAGAATCAAATAWTAATAATAAAGCCACATGAAAAGAGATGTGTGAGAAATATACCGTAAAGAGCAGTTAGAGTACAAACCTTTATGTCAGCAGCTTTCCCAAAAAATATCTGTAGAATAGAAAAGCTAAAGAGAGTAAAAGGCAGAAAATGTAAAAATAAAGATTATACCAGACTTTGACTTAAACTTCGGTCTCTGCTGAGCTTCCCTCTGACACCAACGAGCCAAAAACATCAGGATCGAAGCACTCAGAGAGAGGAGATGTAGAGGCGGCAGGGATCATGGTAAGAGTCAAGAACACCAGTTTTACTGTGGAGCTGTTYTGACAGCAGCCTGAATGTGCGGTGAAGTGGAGTTCCGATCACCTGAACATAATGATTAGTTCTTACTGATCCACTCCTCCTCAGATTTGTTTGTTCCCAAAACATTTGACTTTCTAAGTCTTTTGTTCATCGGCCTTTCTATTTATCTCATAAAACCGAGCAGTGCTGCAAACTTTAAAGGGATCTATGAGCTAGTGCCTAGCTAATGCATATATACAGTGTATATGGCCAGATAGCGTTAGCGCTGAGCTAATGCACATATATATAT